GTAGTTAGAAGAAGGGTCTCAACTTCATCAGAAAAGTAGAATAGGTAAAGGGGAAAAATCAATCTCTTTGGCGATGATGCTTCTATACTGTGTCGGGAATCAGGATCTTCATCAGTGTTGGAATCACCATTCTGCCTGAATCTCCTTCGTCATCGAAATCATCCCTTAACTCTGGTCGGATCCAAAACGAAGAAGGCAGAGCAAAAGAAAATGGTTGTCACGCCTCGTTAGGTTTGCTAATCGAGGAATCACAGTTCGGCGGACCTAAGCTTCTTGGAGTACGCCACTGTAAATAATAGAGGGTGAAGTATTATACCAGAATATTTCCTTGGAAGGAACATATATATGACCCAGAGCTTTTTTCAGCTTGGTGTGTTGTTTTATTTATCCGTTTGTTTTGATTATTGATCTCAAACAAAAGTAATATTGGTTAATTAATTAATACAAACAGGTGGCAGAGGTTCATTAGCCCAATGCACCACATCACCAAGCCAACGTGGTGCTCTGGGAGCACCTAAGAATTTCTCATGGCTTAATAGGAAAAATATGTAAGAGAAGAAGAAAAAACTACATTTAAGGTAAGTTCTAGAGAAAGAGGAAACTTGCCTAATGGACAGCTAGAAAAATGTAAGTTAAAGAAAAATTGTTTATAAGGTAAGTTTTAGCAAATTGTTTTTAAGGTAAGTTATAGCAGTTATAGCAGGTCTTATGGTGAACCCTTCCACACCCTACCAGACTCTTTAAGCAAACTTACGCATAGAAAATGAAGTATTAGTCCCCCCCCCCCCCCCCACACACACACACACAAAGTTGTATTTACATAGGAGTTTTAAAAGTTCAAGACTTACATCTTAATCATGATATAATATGCCTCGAATGATATTCGAAATAACTTCAGCTGACACCCATCCAACAAAATTACCCTCACTTTTCATAACTTAACAAGAACATATGTGTAGTATTTTTCAATCCTACCTCTCACTTCTTCATTCGTATCTTCTCTGGTATGTATATATATATCACATTTGCAACATAACATTGACTAGTATTCAATTAACTGTTGAATTAGTTTTACGTATGTTTTAGATATAAAAAGTGAATCATATGGTGTGATCTGCATCCAAATGATAAAGATGGTTACACAAAATGATAATCCATCTTGATATACATAACAAAGTATAGTGGTATATCAAATTTCAATTTTTACAACATATAAAAGACAATATAAAACAAGAGATAACTTGACAGCTAACTAGTTTTACATACGTCTTAGATATAAAGAACAAACTATATGATGCAATCCACGTCCAATAGAAAATGATGGTAACGCATAAAGTAATAATCCAACTTATATACATCACACAGAATGGTGGTATATCAAATTTCCATTTTTCACAATATAATTAAAATAATATAAAACAAGAGATAGCTTGCCTATGGCACGGTAGATTACTACGTGAGTGAATGGCTAAGCGTGGTGGTAGTGCAGTTCACACACTTTCAGTAGTCTTTCCCCCAATAGTAACAATCAACCTCAATTGACTAATTAACTAAAACTTATCATTTTAGTCTTAGCAATTACCTCAACAAGAACTTGACCTCTGAAGTTAACATCAGAAATGAGTTTTTGCAACTATCCAAGTTTAGAGACCATGTCTATTCAAATAAAACAAGTTATAATGAAAAAAAAACTCATAAATCAAACCTTAAAGAAGATACATACCTACTTCACTCAAGCAGGACGAGCTAGAGCCATTAGAGTGTTTTTTAGACTACTATAATTTGTATCTTCTGCTGCTTTCTTCAGTTTGGTGTTTATGGTCAGTTGATTGTCACTCATGATTATGTTGCTCTTAGGCTAGATATGGGGAAACAAAAATTGTGGACGATTATTATGTTTCTTATGCTAGTTTCAGTTTGAGATTTACCTACTATCACGAATGACTATTCATTGTAATTTTGTTGTGTGGTTAAGTTTGGTGCTAAAAAGAAAAGGACAAAAAATGTTGGTCTTTTTTTTTTGTTAGAAAGACAATATGACAAATTAAACCTTGTGTTTGCTTTGGAGGGAAGAGATGTGTTAAAAGCAAGACTTTTATTTCTACTTTTTTATAGACAATTCTTACTTTTTACTAACCATAAATAATAAAATGAGGGATCGGAAAGATTAAGTTACTTTTTCCGGTAACCCTCAATGTGTAAAAGAGAAAGAGAGCAACATTTACTTTTTAATTTCAATCATTAATAATGTTTACTCCATTTTTTATTATTTTGATAGACTTCTTATTTATACTTATACTATGTTCGTCTTAGAGAAGTTTTTACCACATAGAATTTGTCAAAATTCACAAATTTAATTTCATTTTTTATAATAAAAAATACAAACAATCCCCTAGATATGAATGATTTCTTCTGTAATGTTGAAAGATAAACCACATATAAATAAACTAGACATATATAACTTAGAAAAAAATCAATTAAACTCTCCCTCATTACGATTTTTTATGTAATGTTGAAAGATAAACCACATATGAATAAACTAGACATATATAACTTCGAAAAAAATCAATTAAACTCTCCCTCATTATGATTTTTTATGTAATGTTGAAAGATAAACCACATATGAATAAACTAGACATATATAACTTGGAAAAAAAATCAATTAAACTCTCCCTCATTACGATTTTTTATGTAATGTTGAAAGATAAACCACATATAAATAAACTAGACATATATAGCTTAGAAAAAAATCAATTAAACTCTCCCTCATTACGATTTTTTATGTAATGTTGAAAGATAAACCACATATAAATAAACTAGACATATATAACTTAGAAAAAAATCAATTAAACTCTCCCTCATTACGTGAGGGAACAACTAAAAGAATAATCAAAGTTTAAGAAAGAAAAAAAATATTGTAATCCATGTACAAAAGAATACAAAAAGTCAAATTAAAGGTTGGTTTCAAACCAAATCCAAATGCATATTTCACTTTTTAACCTAATACTATTATTCTCAATGTTGAATTCCAAATCAAAATATCAAATCATCCATGGACACCATGAATGAAATTCAATAGAAAGTATACTCAATAAAAAAAATTTAGGACAAGGTCATCATCCGCAAAGTAGAGCGACAGTGCTTTAAATCCACAAACATATTTGTTGCTCAAATTGTTCCGCTAGTTAGTGTGCCTACAACTCCAACCAAAGTCTAGTCAAGCAAAACTAATTCTATAGCATAGAAAATGAAACTCCATAAACCACAGTTGGATGTTACTTCTATCCATGGACAATCTAATACAAATAGGAAATTAATATATAAATTTTACTATAAAGCTTAACAAAATACAGCGAGGAGGCCGCCCATGTTTTCTTTGTAGTGCTTCACAGTGAGCATGTTTAACTTCAGAGTTCTTGTAGAATTCTTCAATTTTTAACCTCACTCTGCCATCTATATAAATCCTTTATTCTATCTTCCAAACCATCGGCAACAGTAACCAAAATCTCAAGTAGAAGGAAAAAAACACTGAGACAAAATCATGATTAGGTGCTCCTGGACAGGCTTCTGCTAATTTCATTGACAGTCGTCGTTGCCTCCTCCTCCGCCCGCAAGATTATCCTCAAAACGCACACGTATTGGATCGGCAAAGACAATGGAGTTTACCTGAAGCTCGTTGACAAAAATTTAGATTCGTTGTTTTACCATTGGTTGGACAAAATGCTCGACCCTAACCCAAATTGGTTGATTATCTATAAAGATGTACATTTTGATTATCATACATTGTTACCAGAAGGAACAATGGATTCATCAAATGAGAAAATACTTTTGGCTCGATTTATCTTGTAAATCTTGTTGATAGTTTTTTTTTGTTCGATTAAAGGAAGGAGAATAAAGTGTTTTGTTAGGGATCAAACAAACGAGTACAACGTCACAAGATGTTACTGGATATAATTTTACTACAAATCTATTGATTAAGAAACATAGTGTTTACACTTCATAATGTTAGTTTGTGGTTTCACGAAAGAAAATATGTACACTTTGATATGTAACACGAACTACTACCACACCACCAAGTTGTAGGTTGAGACTGGAGCCCTAACTAGTACTATGAGCACAAAACTAGATCAAGGTCTTGTTGAGTTAAGTCTCGAAGACCATAAGGCCATCTCTAATAAGCAGACTAGAATTTCCATAATTAATTAGCGAGGAGGTGGATTGGACTACGCATGTAAATAAGCCGTACACACAGGTGGAGGGAATGTATTCATTTGCTAGGCGGATTGGTTCCTCGATGCGTGCAACACAATCACTCATTTGGTGTTTCATAGTCATAGTTTGTGGGGGCTTAGGATAGGGTCAGTAACCAATGGTTACTAACCTATGAGTAACTAAATATGGACCTTTAGATTTAAGTGGGCCCAGAAAATTCAGATTTAAGAGTTGTCGATTAAAGACATTTTATTTTCCCTAGTTTTCTTAATCGGTTCTTATCTTCTTCGTTCTAACTCGGATTTCAATTTTTTTTTTTTGCACAGATGGAATGAGTTTGTTGTGCTCTACAAAATGAGATCAATTTCAATATATTTCGAGAAACTTTTTTTAACCAACTACATACCATATGGTAACTTCTTCGTTTTTAAGTCGTTTTTGAAAACATTTGCTCAGAAGAAACGAGTTCATCATGATCTATCAGATCTATAAATTTCTAGGTGAAAAAAATACTGGATAAAAAATTGTCATACTTTACCACTATAGTATGTGAGTGGTAAGTTGTGGTAACTTGTTGTAAACAATGATGAAAGTCGTAAATGACATTCCATATAATCCTACTATCATGTATTCAACCTTCTTACCATATTGGTATGTTCATACCATCATGGTACGCTTTCTTACCATATGGTATTAAATTGGAGCATACCATATGGTAATGACTGGTAAAAATTTATTCAATTTTTTTTGTACTAAAAATATATCAAAGTGGATATAATTTTAAAGAGCACATTTAATCTGATTTATCTGTGCAAAATAAAATTAAATTTCGACTGAAAACGAGAAAGAAATCGTCCGTTAAAGATTAAAAGGGAAAAGATAAAAGACTTTTCAGGAGAGAGAAAATACTGATGTCATGTTGATGTGGACAGGTTACTCATGGTTACTGACCATAGAGTTACTGACCTGATCTGTTACCGTTTGCGGGTGGGGTTTGGCAATCTAGCCCCTTTTGTCTCATCTGGGACAAATTTGGCCTCTAAATTTGGAATTTTAGGTTGTTAGAGGGGTTATTTGACACTTTTGAGATTTTTTAGTTGTTGTAGATTGCCAAAGAGCCTAGTGCTTATGAAGGATCCTCTCATTAGTGTCACGCTGTCAGCACCTGCCATTAGCATTTGGTGGCCGATCTTACAGCATAAGACCTCCAATTTAATGATGAAATCGTGTCAGAGATTGGGGGCTTCGGGTTCTCGAAAACTTCATCCATATAAGGTGTAGTGAAAATAAAGAACATTAATGTTTTTTAGCCTAGTTGGATAATGCATACTTGATCATAGGTTCTAATATTAGTTATTCCATCCTTTTTATTTTTTGGCAAATATTTTTTCATATCAATTTTTTTAATTTAACTTGGTAAATTTGACTTTAACAATCCAATTGATCAATATTTCACTTGCTTTAATAAACTTAAAGTGTGTCCATTTAAATTACATGAACTCAGTTGTTTAATTTATCGTGGCTAAAATATCAACTTAGTCCATCACTTCAATATTTTCAAAATTTAGTTTTTAAACTTCCAGTGACCCTTTAACTCCCGGTGTATAAAAACTTATTTTTCATAATGATGCTTTTGGAATGAATAATGGTACTTTAGTCATTGAACATCCAATGAGTCAAACTACCACCTATAACACGAACAATTATATTTTATAAGCTATCTTCTAAGATAGTTAAAAAACTTCATATTCTTAAATCAAAAAATGTGAACCACATATTATTGTTTGAACAGGGCCTCCCAAGATGATTGGACGATCCTATCCAGTATAGTTTTATCTTGTAAATCTTGAATCTTCTTGTGGCATGATCACTAGTAAGTATATACGGTATAACATGTTTTACTATCATTAGATAAATACAGTGTCAACTTTATAAATAAGATATCCATCAACAATCGACAAGCATCCAACAACTATAACATATTGTATGAACCTTTCTCCACACGATACAAGCACCTTAGCCAAATTTCTATAAACAACTCATCTTCTTTTGGGGTGGATGGGGAAGTAATACCGCAGAATGCAAAGGTTTTGATTCTAGATGCATGTATAATTTTATGACAATATTTGTATTAATGTGAAACAAACTCTGATAGATGATATCCATGGTCTCTGCCATAAATACCACCAGATTTCTTCTTAATTATTCTAAACAGCCAACTGAATTCAGGTAGTGGATCCACGGGTCTTTGGAGGTGTCTCGAGACTCCCCTAAATTTTAGGAAAATGATTATCCAACCCCAGTGGTAATTTACGTATGGACAAAATTATAATTGATAGTCAGGAATACCTAGGGGTGATAATCTGGTTGGCGGTTTCTTGGCTAAACCGAAAACCGACCCGAACCGAACGGTTATTAACTGAACCGAAAACCGATAGCTTGCCTTCGGTGGCGGTGTCGGTGTGCTGTTTTGGTGATTTCTATTCACCGAAAACCGCAGGTGGAGAAACCGAGATAAACTCGGTGCACCGAGTAACCGTCCCGCCGCTCTTTTTCCCCGAATCTCCCTCCGATTCCAAGTCTCAACCCCTCCGTCCGCCATCGAAATCCAGCGAACGAAGGCCAAGAAGGAGAAGGGGTAGCTGCAGGGGTGAAGATCGATCGCCGGTCGTCGTCGCCATCTCGTCTCCATCCCGTCCTTCTTCATCCTCCAGATCGAAGGTCAGGCGGCAGTAGCAGCAGGTCGATTTGATCGATCCTCTGTCGCCGGCAGTTGCAGCAGATCGATCCTTGGTCGCCGTCATCGTCCCCTGCATCGCCCTGTTCCATCCTCACCGCCGTCCCTGAAGCTGAAATCGCCGTCATCCCGTCAACCCATCCCTTCCGTCGGTCTTCAGCTAACCGCGACACCGACCCGAAACCGTCGACGGCGGTTTTCGGCTAACCGATAAGTCGATCGGTGTCGGTGGCGGTTGCTGTTTTTGGGTACTCGTCGGCTGCGGTTAACCGTGGTTGCGTTTCAGTTAAAACCGAAAGTGCACCGCTAACAGCCCTAGGAATACCCCTGAAATTTGAAAAAAAGGTTATCCTACTCTCGCCTTTTAGTTTGCGTATGAGAAAATAAATGGTAGTTTGGATAATTCAAACGTGGGACACTATTATTATTAATAAACATAACTTCCATTAGGCTACAACTTATTTGTGGTTCGATTTCAAACACTGTGTAATAGTAAAATGCCATTCCCTATATCTAATTATTTTCAAAACCTAACAATTAAACAAATTTCAAGCTACCCTTAATTTGTATTAAATTTATGGTTGTATGATAAGTGTTGAAAGAGTCTTTTCAAATTTGGATTACATCAAGAACAAGTTTAGAAATCGAATATGTGATTAGTTCATGAATGATTGTCTAGTAGGATATACAAAGACAATTTCTTTGACCAGTGTAGACACCAAGTGTATTCTACATTATTTTGATTTAATTTATTTCTTAAAAGAGGACACCCCTATGTAAAATTCATGGGTCCGCCACTGACTACATGGAATGCATGGGCTACTTTTTTGGCTTTTGTAGTTTCTATTTACATTTGTTAACCAAAACCCAAAAATAGAACAAACCAACAAGAAACTACATGATGTGATCATGGATTGTGACCCAAAACCATTCTCATTGATGTTCAATGAAGAAAGCAAATCAAGGAAAGATGAAGTTGGAAATTTGGCTAAGTGTGGAAACAGTGTCAGGATACCTACTTTGGAGCCTTGTATCTTCATCTTAGAAGATAATCGAAGGGAGTTTGGAGTTAGACATCAAAATATAAGTTCAATTTATGGTTGTATGATAAGTGTTGAAAGAGTCTTTTCAAATTTGGATTACAACAAGAACAAGTTTAGAAATCGAATATGTGATTAGTTCATGAATGATTGTCTAGTAGGATATACAAAGACAATTTCTTTGACCAGTGTAGACACCAAGTGTATTCTACATTATTTTGATTTAATTTATTTCTTAAAAGAGGACACCCCTATGTAAAATTCATGGGTCCGCCACTGACTACATGGAATGCATGGGCTACTTTTTTGGCTTTTGTAGTTTCTATTTACATTTGTTAACCAAAACCCAAAAATAGAACAAACCAACAAGAAACTACATGATGTGATCATGGATTGTGACCCAAAACCATTCTCATTGATGTTCAATGAAGAAAGCAAATCAAGGAAAGATGAAGTTGGAAATTTGGCTAAGTGTGGAAACAGTGTCAGGATACCTACTTTGGAGCCTTGTATCTTCATCTTAGAAGATAATCGAAGGGAGTTTGGAGTTAGACATCAAAATATAAGTTCAATTAAAGATCGTGAAGTCATTGGATGAGAAGATTGAAGCTTCCTAGACACCAAATGATCAACCTAAAAATCGCATGGTGATAAGAAAAAATACCCTATCAAGTGGGTTAAAATCCCCTATAGAGGATCTAAGCTTCGAGATAGGGTATTTGGGTCAGAAGGACTCCCCGTCAAGAGGTTAAAATACTCGATAGGGTATTTGAGGGTGTCGATAGGGTATTTTGGTTGACGAGTTTTAGTTACTTTTTTTTTGTTTATGATTCTTTTTCCTTTTTCTGTACTTTCATTAGTTTTATTTATAAAACCTATTTAAGAGGTTGTAGACTCTGTTTTGAGGGAGATTATGTTGGATAAAAAAAACCTTCTCGGTTCGTTGAGTTTTTACTCTTGATTTTTTTCCTTGTTTGTTGGTGGATCTCTAGTTCGAGCGAGCTCTTCATCAATCAGGTATTCCCCTTGATTGTGGTCGAGTTGCTACCCTTATATTGTTTGAGCCTTCTCCTGATTTTTTGTTGAGATTTGACGGCAATTTCCGCCCTATCCTTTACTTTTCGAGTTGTTGAGAGAAAATTCAGAAACCCTAAAAAGATCGGAGATGCACGACTTTGACAAATGAACCTAAGCTTTCTTTATCACTATGTGCGATGGTGCAAGGTCATCGTGATCTAGTTGTGTCGAGGAAACTGCAAGTGCAACATTTAGTGTTCACAACGGTGATTCACTAGTTTACTCTTAAAATTCCCAACCTTTATAAAATGTCTATCCCTTCAAAAATAGTTTTTGGTGATCTTTCCTGTGTATGATATTTTATGAATAGATATATGCATGTGAGTTACAATTATTGATAATTCAGAAAAAGAAGAAGAAATTTATGAATCAGTGAGTACTTCAAATATGAGTGTTATATATATGACAAGTAGTTAAATATATATATGTGGAAATTAGAAATTAATTTTACATATATGTCAACGTATTCAACATAGACATAAAATTTGAAACCAATTACATATATGACAGGATATTAACTAGGTTTATGCCTTATTGATTATAAGATATGAAAGTCTATTTTTCGAGTAAAATTTCCTTTGAAGTTGACGTTGAAAATTTATTAGGGTTGTGTCAGTGAACTAACTCATGTAAGGAATTCATGATTTTATTTATAGCCTCATTTTGAAGTCGGTGCAAATAGACTTTTTAGGTGGTAACATAAACAAATCGATTTGCAGAGCGTAGGCAGTTTTTTATGCCACATTTAAGAGCATCTTCTTGGAGCGCCAAACTAATGATTAAAGGGCGTGACCTGATGAGGCCATCACATTGAAATCAAAAGTTAGTTGACATCACGTGACAGTTCTTTAAATTTCCCTTATAGCTTTGTTATAAATTTGGCGCGAAAGTTAATTTATGTCTCGCGTAAATAAAAATTTCAAGATTATTGTGCATAGAAAATGCAATCCAATAATACACAAAGAATGTTGCACAAAATATAAAACATATAAAAGTAAAAAGACACATAAGATCTTCGATATAGCTAGAGAAACTAAGATTTCATCGTCTCTTAACCAAGATTCAAGAAGGCACTAAGCATAAGACGGGTGTTGGGTCTTTCTTAGCGTCTAGTTTGCTTAGGCGACGTTAGAAGAAAATAATATCATATGAGCCTATTTGCTTAGGGGCCATTTTGATATGAAATATCACATTTAAAATAACTCATCAGCCAAACAAGACATTTAAACCCAAATACCACATTCAAATTATAAAATAACACACAAATATCACATTTCCATAAAGTGAGTTATTGCAACCTACAAATAACTCAAACCAAAAAACTCATTCAAAAAACTCAAAACCAAAAAACTCATCCAAATGACCCTTTAGTCAAATGGCTAAAGTATTCTCACCACAAGAATGACTATAAATTCAAATATTATTCAATATGATTATTCAAAATATGCATTAACAATTAATGACACAAATTATAGTTTTGAAATTTTGAAAAGTTCGTTAAATGTAATTAATTAATTTCAAATTTTCTAACCTTCTTTATCGCCTAACATCTTTCTCTCTCTAAATCTATAATTGTTTATCGCTCCTTTATCTTTCTCCCCCCTAATTCCAGCAGGCTCTCTCTCTCTTCCTTCTCGGAGTTTCCAGTGATGGTGGTCATATCTACTGTGTTGCTTGATACCTTCGTCTCTCTGCTTCTAGATATCTCTCTCCTATGGCATTTTGGTGGTGGTGATCATATCTGCCACCATTGTTCCTCTCTTTCCCTTCTTCCTTTTTGGCAGCAAAGATGACGACAAATTCCTAGATGTCGGCTCTCTTCTCATTATATGCTATTTAAGTTTTATGTTGCATATATTTTCATAAATGGATGATCATCACTTTATGTGAGATTAAACAGTCTTAAATCAACACATGTCCACATCCCATCAATTGCACTTCACTTATTTCACCTTCTCAACGTTTCAGCTCCGTTGCTTGTGAGAAAATGGTGAAAAACTTTCTCCCTACCATTGTCGGTTCATTTCCTCCATATCCATTATTTCCATCCTCGCCGTTGCATTTTAGTCTTTCTCTCGCCTCTCAATCTCTCTAAAAAAACATTTTTTCTTTTCTTGTTTGAGTTCGTCGATTATTGTTTGAAAGCTGATTGAGACCAAGTTCACCACTACAATGAGAGAACAAAAAACTGCTATTACTTGAAAGGTCCAGTCTTGTTCTCTTTTCGCCTTCGTAGCTATATATTTTTGAAGCCTTGCCTCTCTCAGCTAATCCTTTGTTGAGGTTAGCAACTCTTTCTTCTTCCTAGTAAGATTTCCAACTATCAAATCTGCGATATGCAAATATGCCCTTTTGTTGGTCACTCAATATATCATCCATAAATCGAGACTTTATTTCTCTTGGTGGTATATATTTCACAAATGGATGAGTCACCACTTGATATGCGATAAATGGTCGTAAGTCCACACCTGGCCACATCCCTTCAATCCCACTTGACTCCTTTCACCTTCTACATGTTTGTGCTCCCCTGCTTGCAAAAAATGAAGAAAACCTTTCTCACTCCCAGTGTCTGTTCACTTCCCCATATCCATAATTTCCGCCATTGCCTTTGCATTTAGTCTTTCTCTTGTCTCTCAATCTCTCCAACGAGCAACGTCTTTTCTTTTTTATCTTAGGTTCGTCGATTATTGTTTGAAAGATGACTACTACTAGTTCACCACTACATAGAGGGAACAAATCGTTGATCGTTTCTTGAACGGGCCACTCATGTTCTCTTTTTGTTTTCATAGCTATACATTTTCAAAGGCTTGTCCGTCTTAGTCATCCTTTATAGAATTAAGAAACTCTTTCTTCTTTCAAGTAACATTCCAAACTATCAGATATGCAATATGCCTTTTTGTTTGCATTGTCGCAATTTTTCCAGTTTCCCTTTGCTGATGAAATTCTTAATCATTGACGAAAGTTAATAAATTGTTATCTTTTGGTTTGTCCATGTCAGTTTCAATTTTGGAATTCGTACTTGATTTTTGTCAGTTTGTTTGTCCGGATGCAGGTTTCTCTTTAGGAAGAGGTCTTATATCTTCGCCTCCCTATTCTGCTCAATCTCTCTTTGCAACCAATCGTTGGAGACTATGGACTTAAAACGAGTCCAATTTAATAATATGGCATTTGGGTTGCCAACTTGCCATGCTCTGGTTTCAAAGTGCTGACAAATTTGACGTTGTCTGAATGCTACTTGGATTTCTCTAGCTGGAACCAACCACTCAACCTGTTTGCTCGATTTCCCATGTTGATGAATTTTTTGCTGATATCTTTCAGTTGTTCTCTTGGTGACGATCCTGAATATGATGAGACGATGAAGTATTTGCAAGTGGCCTCCAATTGCTTAGCCTGTAAGTCGATGATGTATTTGGTTTTGATGAGATAAAAATATTTGCTCCTAATCTCAAACGGTGTACTTGCAAGAATAAGATTTGTGACTTCTTTATGATAACATAAGTCTTGTTCAAAGTCCCTTCCTTAGAGAATGCCAATATCAAGTTGTTGGGATACATGTACTTGCTCGATGAGTATAAGCAAGTGGCAAATCGACAGTATGCGAACTTGTTCCTTGGTCCGAGTAGAGCAATGTCCCTTGTCTTCCAGACTGGCTACATAATCAAATAGATTATGCAGAAGTTTTCAGTTTAGCTAATCTGGGCCTCTATCCATGAGAAGTGACCTAGAGTGAGTTGGTGGCAGGTGATCTGGGGTAGGTTTGTGATGCCATGATTTAGTGTTATCTCGTAGTTGATTATCTTAAATAGAAAAGTTACTCATGATATGCGCAAAAGTTGAGGGAAAATCACGTATGACAATTGTGTGATGTGCAGTGGAAGCAGTGAAACACGATCACACTTATTCTGAAAACGTGTTTATGCAGAGCAATTCTTTATGGTTGTATTTGGTAGGACTCTGCAGGTTTAGCCATCCGCGTGGGACGATATGTTGAGTCATGTTGAGTGGGAAGTGAATAAATGTGGAGCCTATGGTCGTGTTTATGGAGCAATATTGTTTACCCATAAAAAATTCCTCACCGGAAAACAAATATGGTGTTGGGTTACAGGGCTCTTATGGAAAGAAAGGTGTGGGCGTCTCTTTGGCAGCTTGAACAAGGATTGACATATGCTTTTTTTCAAGTTTAAGGATGTGTTTTTATTGTTTGTAATGAGTAATTTTGAGTTTAAAAATGAGGTGCGGAGTCTACCATCTAGGGGTGGGAAACGGTGCGGTACAGACCAAACCAGACCATAGACGGTTTGTGGTCCAGACCGAGAGATTGGAACACAGACCATGGACCATACCATATACTATACGGTCTAGACCAGACCACGCATGTACGGTGCGGTCCGGTACGGTCTGGACCAAGCAGACCATGTTAAAAAATATTCACACTTGTTCGGATCTCCAACCATTCGTCAGTATTTATAAAAATATAAATTCCATCCACCAATATGCTGGTGAAACAAAAAAAAATGTTATTGTAATTAAATGAGAAGAAATATATGAGGATATAAGTGGGGTTTTTCAATTTTCAAACTCTCACCCTAGTCTCCACGGCTCTATCCAGTATTCCTTAAAAAACACACACATCAAATAACATTGTTTCCCGCTATCACTTCTCTCACTCTCTCGAGTGATCCGAAGGTTCTCGCGGTTGATAACCTTTGTGATGACGTCGAGGTTTTTGAACCACTAAGATGGTCACTTTTCTCTCAATAATTTTCCTTATCTCATCAAGGTGAATGAATTCTTCTACTGTTTATGTTTTATCGACTCCATAGTGTAGACATTGTTGGTGAATATTCTTCATGAATTTTTCTGGTTTTTGTTTGGTTCTTCGATAAGGATATAACACATAAGCGATCATTTGGACAATTTGTTTGCTCTCAACTAGATGAAGAATTAACTATATTTGTTCTTCAAATACACAATTAGAGGTTTAATTTAGTGTTATTTTGGTCCAAGTTAGTAAGTAGTATGTCGCGATCTGTTACGGTTTACTGTGGTAGCCCGTGGTCCAGACCACTTCAGACCACACACTAAAGTAGGAGACCGCAAACTAAACCAGACCATAGTTATGGTCTCACAATCCAGAACAAACCATACGATACGGTCTAGATTGCGGTTCCCCATACGGTTTAGTCCAGATTCTCAGCCCTACTAGTAGGGATGGAAATGGGGCGGGTTTGGGGAGGGTTTGCCTAAACCACCCCCATCCCCGCTTTAAAAAATCAAAACCAATACCCGCCCCATACCCATGTGGGGGAAGATTTTGCAAACCCATCCTCATACACGTGGGTTTCGGATACCCATTGGTAATACCCGCCCCGTACATCCAACATTATAACACCTAAAATTTTATATGTAAATTTTCAATTATAACATTAAACGCACCTACTATACAATGAAGTCGACAAAGAGACAATCATTCTTAACACGGTTCAAAATATCCTAAAACATCCATTAATCCATAAGATAGAATACAACGTAATCTAAATCATTATTCTCTTACTCTAATACATATCTGCTAAGTAATAACTAACTAACATAATCTATTTAAACATGAAGGAAAAAAATGAATGAATGAAGGGAGAGTTGAGAATAAGGAATAAGGTTTTGATTTGGGTGGCCACCAAATTAAATTATATTTCTACTAAATATTTTCTTAAGTTACCCTCACTATTATTGATATATTACAATTTAATCAATATATTTTTTATATTTGAAGAAATGCTCTTGATGGGGCGGGTATGGGTATGGGGCGGGGGAGGCTAAAACCATTCCCGCCCCATACCCAGTCAAAGCGAGAATTCCCTGCGTTGACTGGGTCGGGGGCAGTCGGATACCCGTGGTCATGGGTTTGATTGCCATCCCTACCTACTACCATCCTTTAGTTGGCTAGTTTGATTGTGTATCAAACAGTACGTGGACGTTTGTCTTTGTTTTTTGGATGCTTGATTCATTTGGTCAGGAGAGTTTAATTTTTTTTTTTTTACCAATAGATAGCGGTCAGGAGAGTTTAATGAAACGCTAATTATCGAATAAAAGTGTATTTGACGACCTTCTTTGATTCATTGGGCCGAAGGTCCTCTCGTGGCCAATAAGCCCAGACAAAAGAAAGATTTTTTTTCTTCTTCGAGGCAAGAAGAAATATTGTTTTTACACCTAAACATTCTTTTTTTACTTTTCACGTATGCAATTTGGAGCTCGCGAGTGGGAAGGTGGGCTACAATATTTGGAACACACACCCCGATCCGACGGCCAACTAAACTTAGCAATTTCCCTGCTTGTTCAATGCCATCAAGATTCGCGGCGACTCGGTGCCCTCTTAGCGAACTTGCTGCCTATCTCACTGTGACTCGTAATACAACTCGCAAACTCTTCATGCTTTAACTAACTCGGCGTTTAGGAGAACACTCATATTGCTGGAAGGTAAGTCACAGTTTCTTCATTTTGTGGAAATAATGAGGTTCCAAGGTTAAGCCTGCAACTCCACTCTGACACTATATATCATATTATGCATTTTCATATCTTAGCCTCTTAGGAATCTAGGTATCCGTTCTGGGTTGGAATTGGGTCTGCCAATTAGATTATTCGTGCTGATCGATCAGTTTCGAACATGAAGGATGGCAAAAGAAGGCGAGATGTGTTAGGAGCCGGTAGACTGAGTGATCTTACGGACGGTATTTTGCACCACATTCTCTCCTTCCTGGACACTGAATATGTTGTTCGAAGCAGCATTTTGTCACGGATGTGGAGATGGGTCTGGAAAGACATCCCTGTCCTGACTTTCCACGGACGCTCGTGTAGGGCTAAGCTGTAGCAGCACTGTTTTGAAGGGCATGTGGACCAAACACTATCCCATCGGTTTGACTGTAATGTTCGTAGGATTAGCATCTTCTTTGACTTTCAATCACATGTGATTCCATTTCTCAGAGTCATGAAATATGTTGCCGCTCATCGTGTTCAACAGCTATATGTGCTTCATAAGGAAGGAGACGATTATTTCCGCATTTTAACTAAAGATGTTGCCTTAATCTCTAATTGTTTTCGAGCACTGAAAGTTCTTGAATTACAGTGGGCGGTTCTAGACAAGAGTGCACTTGAGTTTTGGTCTCATTTGTAACTGCTCAAGACTCTGACTTTACGTGACTGCGAGGTTGACTTTGGTAGCTTGGATGACCTGCCTAACCCTTTTGCTACTTTTTCCAGATTGGAAAACCTGAAACTATTCGATTGCTTTTCACCTGATTGTGGATTGAGAATATATGGACTCCACTTTCTTACTTTGGAGATATATTGGGCAGCATGCCCCACCTTGGAAATTTTTGCTCCTAAACTTGTATCGTTCTACTTCCGGGAAGAACTTATTTTCGTATTTTTTCACCACAAGTCTCCAAAATGAACATTCCTTTGGTTAATCATGCAACAATCATCATGTCGGGTACAAGGATCTATTTCACAAGAGTGTCTATGATGATGATCATAAGTAACTGGTTTTCAAGCAGTGCGCAAACTTGTTCCATAGTTTGCATAATGTGAAGTCCCTCTCCTTGCACATCGATACCATTGAGGTATGTTATCTGCGATCCCTAATAGTATGAGATGAGCATAATCCTACCAAATATTACAATAATTTATGATACAATTCATGCATGGTGCAAGATATTTACCATTTCAATCCCTTTACAGTATACATACGAGATTTGTTTTGGTACAAAATTGAGAAGCCTTTCTGTTTATGTCATTCTGCCTTGGTTCTACTCCCCAGTTGTTGATTCGGGCTTATGAATTGGTGAAACATCAACCTTCACCCTTTAAGCAGCTGAAGTCCTTATGTTTGATGTATGCCGAAGGATCTTCTCTCTTACCTTACCAAGTGATCCGTTACTTTCTCAAAGGCTCTATCTCCTAATCTAGAAAATGCATTTGTGATGCTTGAAAGGGTATGTGGATAACGCTCAACTCTATTTCATCTTCGGTTTTGAATAGAATTGGATTTATACAATCACACACAAGTTAGGTGTGAGGGATAATGACACATTTGTGGCACTAGAAAATTGAACTAAATAATGTGTTCACCCATTAACTTCACCTTCAGACTTAAAGTTTCATTATTTTTCCCCATCATTTCATTTATATCCAAGAACACCCATGTTTATGCGTGTACGCTGTGTAGTCATATTGGCATCAATCTCTGAGATAACTGGATAATTATACATTTTCTCGTGTTTATGCAGAGGCCAATTCCAAGCCGTCCATATCCATGATCACTTCATGATTGCCAGTGCTAATTCTGTTATCATATGAGTCTTTTTTTACCTTTGCAATTGCCTGTTGCAACTACAACGACTTCATATGAATGTCTAGATTAGTGTGTTTTAGAATATGTTGCTTCCTTGATAAGATAAACGTGTCTCGGTTGAGAAGCTAAGTTATTAAGGCACACTGTTCTACTGCGGGTCCTAAAGTCAGTTCGGGGTAAAAAGATGATTTGTTAGACTTAATTCACTTGATATATGGTTTACTTTGTGTGGCCTGACTCACCTTCTAGAGTCGGTCATTTGTGGCATCAGATGTCATCTTAAATGTAGTTTGTTTTTCCTGTGTTAATGTAGAGGCCCTTTCCAAATTATCCATGTTATTGCGCACTTCTTCAACCTTCCAAGATCTGGAATCTTGGTAGATCTCTGCATTTGTAATGAAAGTAGAGGAATGGAAAGCTTCATCCCCGCCCACTAGTTGCAGGTACATCCAGGCCGTTTCATGTGAACTAACTGGATAAACAAACATATACGTGTAATTTTCTTATATGATTCTACTTGTGCCTCTTTTCTGTAGTGACTACATGCCTGGTTCAAATAATCTTTTGTGGGTTCTCTGGGTAAGAGGAGAAAGCTTGGTACAAATCTTTATTGCATGTCTCTCGCAAGAAAAGGGGAATACAACTTTGGAGGCGATTCAGTACCCGTTATCCATAGTTATTTTGTTTTCTGTTGTGAATGTACCCCTTCGACCCAACTCTGGTCTTAATGAAAGTTGATTCCACTGGAAGGTTAGATGAAATTTCTCTGTATATGGAATGGAATCTTATAGTTGATGTTCAAACTTTGCATTTTAACGTCTTTCACCATTCATGAAAGCTATCTGCTTGAGTTAATAAGGATACATCTCTCTAAGGTTTAGTGATCCAGGCAGCAGAGAAGTGTGAAACTCAAGCTATGCTCCATGACGAATAACAAGAAGAGGAGGTAGGACTCAAAAATTGGCATACTATGTGATTTTCCTAATGGTGTTCTTCATCACATTCTCTCCTCCCTAGACACAAATCCTACCATAATTACATTCTCTACTTCTGGACCCCAAATCCGCTGTCAAAGATAGAGTTTTGTCAGCCTGGTGGAGCTTTGTATGGGAGCATGTTCCTATTCTCAATTTCTGCGAAGGTTCCTTGAAGTAATTAGGCTGGGTTTTGTGTGACATGTGGACCAAGTTTTAGCTCTCTGCTCTCACTGTATTGTACGCAAGATTAGCACCACCTTTCGCATCCAAATGAATGGGGATTTTTTGATAGGGTGATGAAATGAGCGGGCTCCTGTGGTTTTCAATAGCTATTCGTCCTTCATTCTCATAGTTATCATTACATATCCTCCAGTTCTATCCCCTCAACCTCCACTTGTTATCAATATCTGAAAGTTCCGAAATTGCTCCATGTTGTCTTGTGTTAATCAGTGGCCACAGGCTCCAAAACACGAGTAAGTGAGGCTCTTCAGTGTCAGGGACAAAACTCAAACCAAGGGATGGATTCCTACGTCTACGACTTGAGCTTGATATGAATGTCGAGAATCATTTTTGTATAGTCGTTTGCTAAATTGTGTGTTCTCTATTACTGTTGGAACTATCTTGTTTCTACAGTTAATCACTAGTTGAGTGGCTTTCAACAGTGTTGTAGCCATTTGTTGTCATGGTTAATGTAGTTGATCCTTCCCGATAGACGAAGACTTGTTACAAGTTACATCCTACAACATGGTTCCGAACAAAGGTATTGTTGGTCTTTGCCTTGTCTTGCTTAAATGAATGATAATTGAGTATCAAAATAGATAATAAAAAATTGAATGAGAAATTATCTTTAAAATAAGAAAATCATACATTGTGGTTAAGATTTTGTTCCACCACCTAGCTAGCTCTCTTTTGGTATATGTTTGTAGTATCATAGACAGGATTCTGGGTGACCGTTCCCTGGGGAAATAAGGATTTATAGTTGGCGAATACAATTGCAGTAATGTTGAACAATCCCGTAGCTAATTTTGTGGTCAGTATGGGACTGCCTAGCTCTATGTGTCTGCTCCTTTGGAGTTGTATCATGTTAAGTAAAGATCTGTTATATGTATTAATTCAACAAGTTTATTCCAATGGTGAAATTAAGCTGCTAGTGATAGCCATTCGCCACTTTGGTCCTTTATTTTATAAAAGCAACATCTTCTTAACTTTGCATACTTAGATGCGAATAAAGTTGTCCCCAAGCATTCTGCTATTGTAGATGCTTAATCATTGTCGCTGCTATTGCTGCTACTATTGTCGTTGTCTTTCCCGCACTCTTTATTCTTCTTGACCTTGTTGTTATGGTCGCCGCTCTTTGTTTTCATCTTAATCTCGCTTGATGAGCACTTCTTTTCAACTTTCTTCTCACTCCTGTAGTACTCAGTTGCAGCACCCATTCCAATGAGCCATGTTGTTTGCCATGGCCGAGAGTAGTAGCAGCATTCTTGATGAATTTAAGCATCCCATTGCCATGACTCTCAGAGTTATGATGGCCCTCCGTCTCATGTCCGCTCCTGAAGCCAGTCTGAGGATGGCCACAGTTATCAGCCTTATGATGTCACGTGATCTTGTGGCCACTCTTTCAGCTGGTCTTAGCATGGCCCTAGTTATCAGCCTTATAGAGATGGCATGATGCCTCATGGCCGCTCTTGAAGTCAGTCTGAGCATGGCCACAATTATCAGTCTTATGATGTCCAACGGTCTCATGGCCACTCTTGAAGCCGCTCTGAGCATGGCTCCAGCTATCAGCCTTATGATGACCTGCAGTCTCATGGAAACTATTGAAGTCGGCCTGAGCATAGCCCTAGTTATCAACTTTGTGGTGGCCTGAAGCCTCATGGCCACTCTTGAAACCGGCATGGGCATGGTTTCTGTGGGTTATGGCAAGAGCGGTATGGCCAGCTGATGCATTGCCATGCTTTTGATGGCCAGATGAGGTGTCATGATGGCCCATGAAGCCAGTGGCCCAATCATGCTCGTGGCCATTGGAAGTAGAGAGTTCGAGCTGGATTGTTTCTGGTGATGGCTCATCATCGTGCCATGGCCAGGACCAGTTTGGCTGTGGGAGTGCTTGAGCTGGCTATTGCAGTTGCTAGAGACCTGGTGGTGGGCACCATCAGTGTGGTATTGGGGCTCAGCATGCCTGAAATTGTGGTGCTGCGGCTGATGGTTAGCCTGGTGGCAGGGATCATGATCAGCAAGGTGGTATCATTTCATTGAAGTCATTGTACAAGTTTCTTGCAGTTGTACTTGTATAATCTAAGGATAAAAAAAAGGTTTGGTTTGCTACGAAACCTAGAGCCAACTATGGCCCAAATTTATAGCGGGGGGAAGTGGGAAGTATGCATTATGGGTTCAATTATTTGATTCCATACTGATAAGCTGGTGGATGGGAATGAGAGAATAAAAGGGAGAAAAGATCCATTTAACCGGCAATGAATGCCTGATTTTGCAATATGTAGGTCATTCCAAGATAGTGTTCTCTTTGTCTTTGGTGGAGTTTCTTCTTTAGTCCATTAACTCGTGGGATAGAATCAAATATGGTAACAGACACAAGGGAATCTCAAGTCTACTAAGTCATTCATAGGGCTCTAGCTAAGTCTCCAGTGATCTAGAGGGAATCTACTGCGATGGAGGACAGGATGGAATTATTAAACCTGATGCGTGAAATGAAGCCTGGATTTCACATCCGGAGATGGAACATGTTGGTCTATAGTGCATCCCGTATTTTGTGTGTATACAAAATATCACGATGTTTATCGATTTTATGAATTTCATTTTTCAATATAAAAATTTCGAAATACATTTATTTCAAACAAGATGCATTCGAAAATTGACTCGACTCTACTGTCACTCCAGGAATTGGCCAAGTGAAACCACTTCCTAAAGCGTAGTATAGCGGGTTTGGGTTTAATTATCAACCCGGGTCCTAGATCTGATGACTACTCAGTGAATTCTTGTTATCTAGCAATGAAACTGGCATGCAAGTCTAAACTACCAAACAAACAAAGCAAGTAAACTGTCGTATTCAGGTTAAAGAGGTCACCCGGATATGGTTCCCCCTAGACTGCAGTTAAGCCAGATTGTAATTGCCAAGTTCAGTTTCTATGATAGTTATACTGCGGAAGGTTCTTAAACAGCCTGAAGTCTCGACTAAAGGTCTTCAGACCCTCTCAATCTGACTCTCTAACGGGCGACTAACCTCCACCGGAGTCGACAGATTGAGGCCCTAAGAACAAAACCTCCACTACCGGAGTAAATCTGGTACAGAATAGTGAGTTGGCTCCTCGACTAAAGTCACCAACTCCCTACCTTCAATCAAGGATACTCTATTAACCTAGGCAGATATTCTCATTCTAGGTTAAAGCAGAAACAACAAGAATTTGATCAGGATTCAAGTCATTCAATCATTAAAACCTCAATCGAATATAATAAATCATAGAATCAGTACTTGGGTTCATACAATCAAAGCCTAACATACAAATCTAGGGTTCTCCATACCCAGATGAATCGGAGAACTACTCCATAGAGAAGAAAGCAAAAGCAGAATCAGACACGGAATTCATACTGCGAAGGATGGATTCCTGCTTCTGGACGTTGATTGGCACTTCTCCAAGCTCAAGCTGGCCTCCAATGGTGTTGAAGATCAATCTAGGGCACTTGGGAACTCTTGCTCGTCACTTTCTCTCTCTAAAAGTCGTTCTTTCTCTCAAAAACTCGAATCCTCTTGACTTGTGGCTGAAAATCTGCTTAAAAGCATCAGTGGCCAAAGCACGGTCGAGGGCACGGCCGTGCTTTGCCTGACTCCGCCCGTGCCTCGGCCAGGGCTTAATTACACGGCCAGCAGGTGGTGGAAACACGGTCGTGCTTCGCGATGTACACGGCCGTGCTTTGACTGGCCGTGCTTCAGTGCCCGTGTTTGCAACTGAATTGGCCAAACCAAATTTGCTCTCGGCATAAAAAGCACGGCCAGCAGTACACGACCGTGTAATGCCTTGGGTCTGCCCGTGTTTTGGCTCCAGCTCACCGAAATGACTTCCGAATGCCCCGAAACTCGCGGTTAGCCTCCCCTTTAACGCCTGGGACCTGAAACATGACAAAATAGCACAACCCGGCGTAAAATAGGCCAAAACACACGACTATACTCCTCAAACGGATAAGAACTAGGGGCGCAAACATGTGCATTTACATCGTTATCAAATTCCCCCACACTTAACCGTTTGCTTGTCCCCAAGCAAACTTAACTCAAACCAATGCAACTCTCCAGACCTCTATAGCAACAAACAACCCAGATCGTAGGTAGAGGACTTCCTAGATCATTTAGCAGCTTACGAGGTCAACCGACGCACAAGTCATCTCAAAGCTTCTTATCGAGTCGGCATCATGGCAAAAAGTGAGCAGAGGACAAATGAATCGTGGATGGAGAGATTCTCAAAAACAAAGGATCATGGACTCACATTTTTCAAGGTGCTCGATTTTCTTTGAAGATGGTTGGAACCCCTTTTTTCTATTTTGCTTGTTTTCTGTTATTTTTCTTTTCTTTTCTTTTCAAGGGTCCCAACCTGCTCTTACCGGCCATGCCAGGAGCGGATGTCTCGAGCCTCGTGCGGGGGAAAGACATGTAAGGGGGCTGGAGGTAGTAGGTGGAAATTGGGAACGAATTCCCGTCTCCCCTTACACACTTTCGCCCTATTCGCACGGGAGACGTTATTTTAAAGCACATTTTCGAGCACCTGTTATTTTCAAAACATGATACAAGAGTCCATGACAGGCAGAGAATCCACAACACCACACAATTCAAGGGGCCTAAGATCACTAATTCACTCAATCATCCAACTCAATATGAAGAAGAAATGAGACTCCTTAAATGCATCAACATCCTCCATAGTGCTACACTACCTCCCTAGGTTGCATATTACTATAAAGACTGTCAATTCAAAGCATACTAAGCAGGTAATTGCAAGGAAACATGTACTTGGAGCCCTCAAATTTTAAAAATTTGGACAGTGGACTAGGCTCCAAGCACACAAACAGATCTAATGCAGTCAAAAGATAAACACCCCCCCCCCCCACACACTTAAGATCGACATTTCCCTCAATGGAGAAGAGGGAAGGGAAAGGGGAACGATGTTACCGGTATGCATGGACTGCAGGAGACTGGAAACGGGCCAATCGGGGCAAGCACAGCCGAAGGGAAACAGAAGAGCTCAAACACAATATGTTAGGTTCAATGGTCAGCCCAATAAAACATCATCCAAACCAAAAGAAAAACAAACCAAACCCAAACCGGGTTACAATCCGACTTAAAATATAAGAAAGAAAATCAAACCGTGGTGGGGTTGCCTCCCCACCAGCGCTTCTTTACCGTCGTATTAGCTGGACGCCCATGGTGGATACTCAGGGCGGTGCAGGAACAGGTGCCTCCAAGAGCGGATCCACGTCGCTCTTGAGGTACAGCTTGAGGTTGTGGCCATGCACCCGACGGATGCGACCACCATCATCAGTCAGCTCGACCTGCCCATCTGGCAAGATGCAGGCGAGTGAGTACCCGGACGGCCAGGGTGGTCGTGGTGCAGGAGGTGGGACCAGCTCATAGTGGTCTCCACTCTTCTTACGTGCAGGCTTAGCAACCTGCGGCTTCGGCCGCCACTCCTCCTTGAGCTTTTTGTTCGGAGGCGTGGCTGGATGGAGTGGCGGCGAAGGAATGATAGGAGGGTCCTGCAAAATAGGAGGTGCAGAAGGATACACGACAGGCTCGTGTACCTGATCAGACATAGCATGCACAGGCGTGACATCAATCATAGAACAGTGATCAAACTCAGTCACAGAAAAAGTAGCCTGTTCATCCCCAGCACGCAGTATCAGTTTACCATCATGCACATCAATAAGTGCCTTGGCGGTGGCAAGAAATGGCCTACCTAGAATCAAAGGCACATCCACATCCTCATGCACATCAAGAATAACAAAATCAACAGGATATGTGAATGTACCTACTTTAACAAGCATATCCTCAATGATACCCCTAGGATGCACAATAGAACGATCAGCTAATTGAATGCTCATCCTAGTAGGGCTAAGTTCACCTAGGTCTAGCATTTTATACAACTTATATGGCATGACGTTAATGCTAGCACCTAGGTCCGCCAAGGACTTTCCTACATGCATGCTGCCAATAGTAAGAGGGATAGTAAAACTCCCTGGATCCTTGCGCTTCTCGGGCAGCTTGTTCTGCAGGATAGCAGAACACTCCTCGCTCAGCATCACTGTCGAGAGATCTCCAAGTTTCTTCTTGTTGGTGCATATATCTTTCATGAACTTGGCATACTTGGGCATCTTCGACAGTGCCTCCATGAACGGTATGCTGATGTTGAGCTGCTTCAACATTGCCATGAACTTGGCAAACTCAGTCTCCAGCTTGTCCTTGTGTAGGCGAGTGGGGAAGGGAAGCTGGGGTACATGCTCCTTAACCACTGATTGTGGCTTGGGAGCAGGGGCTTCCTTCTCCACCCGCACTTCTGCATCGTCGGCTGGAAGTGCTGAAGCAGGTAGTGGTTCCTCCTGTCTGGCCGGGACAGGATCAGCAGATATGACCTTACCGCTCCTGGTAAAAATGGCATCCAGCTGCTGATGCTGGTGAGGATCTCAAGGATTAGGAACAATGGTGGCAGGCAAAGTCCCTGGTGCCCTGGTGGTGTTCTGGCGGGCCAAGATGCCCACCTGGGTCTGCAGATCCTGCAAAATAGCACCCTGGTTCCGCTGACCTGCCTCCAGTGATGTGATAGCAGCCTGGGTGCTGGTCATGAATGAAGCTAGAATGTTTTCCAGCTTCGTCATCCTGTCATCTGGGGCCGGAGCTACTACTGGCTCGGCAAACTGGCGCTGGGGCTGCTGGAATGGCTGGCCTTGCCTAGGCTGGTAGGGCTGCTGCTGTGGGTCTGGCCCCTAGTGAGCCTGGAAGGGCTGCCTCTGCTGAAAACCACCTGCTGGTGCTGGGAAACCAGGTGGTTTAGTGGTGTTGCTGCTCCAGGCGAAGTTGGGATGCTGGCGCCACCCCTCATTATATGTGCTGCTGTATGGATCGAGGCGCCTCGCATTGGCGATGAAGGCCAACTGCTCCTGGGGTGTGGTAGACTCCCTCATAGCCTGGCAGTCCTCCATTAGGTGATTGGAGCTCTCACACCACTGACATTGAGCTACTGGAGGTGTAGCCAAACCTCTGCCC